TTGAAAGTTTTACTCAGACGATCGATGAAATAAAACAGTGTAGTGACGTGCCTAGTAACCTGCTAAATAACGAGGTAATTCCGACGTCAAATTCTATTTTGCCCAGCAACAATGTACAAACGTGCGCCGGTGTCGATGACGATCACGGTGACCAGCTACACCAGAACGGACATATTTCGCATCTAACTCAACCCCATGCAACAAAAATTGATACTATGTGTTCATTATGGTCCATTCTTCCTCGACGAACAAGTACATAAGTGACAATATAGTCAAAGACGAGAAAACTGCACAAGAAATTTGCTTTATTTACACGTATCGGCAATGCAAGCTGCCATGCGACTTCCCCTTCTGACGTCACAAGGGGAATTTCTGTATGCAAATGAGAAGCTAATGAGGAGCCTCGTTTTAAAATACACAAAAATAAAGTTGCCGTAGACTGAGTTTAAAACACATTTTTTCACTTAAAAAAATAATTCATGCTTAGAAACATAAAAATTAATAATATTTATGTATTAATTGATAATTTTAGACGTGAAAATAGCAGCCATTTCACAGGCGTCGTGCCGCGTCCTGTTCGATATGGGACTCATAGCGACGTATACAACGCGTATAAAATACATTGTTTATTTACATGAAATTCGAACATGCGCTGCGCGACGACCACCGCGCTTTAAGTGAAAAAAAAAAGATATTCATTAACACTAAAAACATACCCCCATCCACTTAGAAAGGGTTTTAAATACCCAAGAAAATTGAGCCTATCATGTTATTCTTTGTTATTTGCGGGGGCTATTTGATTACAAAGACGTTTGGGTGCAGTATCAACATTTGAATGTCACCCTTTATGACGGAATTGCTCCGTACTTCATGTACTTCCAAGTGTCGTGACCATGTCTTCGTAGAATTCTTTGGGAGTCATCCTTTTTTTTTAGAGATACGTGACCACAGCACGAGCTTCTGTCTGGTCCATTTTGTGATTTTCGTTTCACCTGCTGATTTAAAATTCCGAAGGCCGTGGCGTATGCTTAATCGGTTCCTCCATCGAGGATGTGCACCTCACATTCTGCCGCTTTCTTCTGAATATTTAAAAAAATAACTAAAATGGCTATTTACAGTGAATTGTCTAATTATTCAATTCATTGCTTCATTCCAAAAAGGCAATTAAATATATGAGCAGAATATCCAACTTCAGTAACATAATCCTACATAAGACAACATGAAACTGACGAGCAAATAGTACATAAAAAATGAAATCCATCATTAATTATGCAAATAACTAAGAACTAATTTTTTTTAAAAAACATTAAAAATATTAAACTGCATTAAGTTTCATGTAAATAACTATTCACTGAGTATTAAAAAGTGACGTCATACTCAGTTGCCAGCAAGTGAAATAGTATGCTTTCTCTGTAACGCAAATTGAAATTGAAATTGAAAATGAACAACATTTTGTGATGTCTTGCCCTGTCTATGCCCAACACAAAAACATTCTGTTCACGGAAACAAGGGAAATAGCCACAAATTTGAATAACAAACCCATGGTGACAAATTCAGATTTGACAATATTTAATCACTTTAGGCCAATAGTTGCGATTCAGAGAGCTGTTGAATCTAGACAGCAGCAACTCCTAGATATTGATGGAAAAGTTGTATCTAACACGCGCAGGTTGCATCGCTTCTCTTCTCTTGGCTGCTTTTATCATGATGGTGTCACTCCAGCAGATCTCCGTGTGATGACTGCATAGGGAACATATTTACCGCAAGTGACATTCCACCAATCTGACTTACACCATCACAAAATTGGAATATTCAAAACTTTTATGAACATTTTTTTTTGTTACATTTGCGTCAATGTGTGGTGTATCAACAGAGAATCGGGCGTCAAGATTTTCAAATTAGTCAAATGACTTTCTTTTTTGGTTCATCTTTCTGTTGATTGTCAACAAGTGGTCTTTGACACAGTTCGATTGTATCCCGCAGTATTAATCCAACTTGTCGACTAAACTTTAAAAACTTAAAAACGTATTGAAAATAATATCGCATTATTAGACAAATACAATACTAGTCGCAGCGTAACTTAAAGTTCACTTCCTCTATAAACAAACTAATTTACCCTAATATTATTTTATATTGGAATGACAACGGGGATTGCATAGCGTCCCTAACAACACTAGAAGAAGCACACATGTCATAAATAACGTGTACACTATCAGTAAAACGAATGTAATGGTATATGTGTTCACGTTCAGAATGCTTTTCATTCATCACATGTTCAGCACACCACCTGTGCCATTACATTCATTAAAACACTTTATTTCGGGGAGTGTGAAACGTTATAGAAAATATAAAGATATATCCTGACCACTTTCATCCACAATGGTAACTGTGGTTACTTCTTTTACATAACTGAAATTCTGAATATTTGCTCATGAAATTACTATAAACACATTTTATCTGAGATGAAGGTCTGGTATGTGTACGGGTCCCATCCAATTGTCATCTAAATTGGCCTCCTTTTCTATTACTGTAACACCGATGGCACTGTGACAGCAATGTTGGAAGTTGATGGATCACATAAGGTAGCTGATTAGAGGTCTGATTAGCGAAATGTTGTTAACATTCACGGCGAGCAGTATTTAGATCCATGACCCATGACTAACCGATTTTTTGACTAACAACGAGTGGGTCGCAATTAACTAAATTGTATACATTACAACTCCTGTATAAACAAGACGTATGTCTGAATTCTGTTGAATTAATAATGTAATTACCCAATGGATATCTAAACTCCCATGACAGGACAACAAAGCCGCGTATGTTAAGATTATAACACGACACAATCTTTATGCACGGTTTTGAAGTCCCGATGGTGGTGTAACATTTTATTTTATATTTGTGTAATGGTGGTTATTCACTGGAATTGTTGTTGATAAATTGGAATTGAGTCGTACAAGTTATATTGGCGTGGTAAAATGCTCGTCTTGCGCAGACTAAGATGCATAGCAGGTTGAACAACTGACCTTCAGCAGTAATGAGAAGTTCTTATTAACGACCATTTTAGCTATTAAAATCGCATTAAAATGCCATCATTTGAAACAATGAGACGAATCTTTTCCTAAATGACCAGTCTCGTCTCACATGGGATATCTGATAACATTATTTTTTTCATTCGAGCTTTTTTGTTTCACTATATTACAAATGTATTGAAGCAATCTCATTAATTGTGTAATAAGGTCATTCGCTTATATTTCTTAGAATACTAGTATTCTTTACAACGGATTTTCGAGTTAGCCACTGTGTTAATGGGAATCTGTGTAAACCTAGAATAAATATTAACGACACACAATACTTAAAATCACATGAAGAGTATTCATACTACAGTATCTAATTTTAGATCTCATTCATTATGCAACAACGTAATTAGGTTATATTTCTTAGAATATCCTTCTCACTTGATGTTAACTCTTAGAAAAGGTTAAAGGTCAAGCATTTCATTTATGTCCAAGTCAGCTAGCTATACGCATATAATTAATTTTTACAAACAACCCAAAACCACTGGACCAACTATAACACTATTCTGTACACATTCATTAGTGGGTATATTTCCACAGATACATCATGGGTATTTATACTACTTGCATTATGCATCGACCCATAGAAGTTGTCTTCTGAAATTGTAAGCGGTGCGCTCATTGGCTGAATGGGAAAGCGGCGGTATTATGCTGGAAACAGCAAAGCTATCTTTGGTATCGCCACAGCTCCTCTATATTCTATTATTCGTTTATTGAGAAAAAAACTCATGTGAAACGGGTAACGTACGATTTTGTTTAATGTAGTTTTATCGGAAGAGTACCTATTTAACCAGTGGGGAAAAACGTGAGTTTGTGGTATCCGAAAATGTTCAAGTTTCCGAGCTTCCCGTTAATTTTGTGTAAGGCGATACACACGTCGACTGAATGAGGATTCAGCATCAAAAAATCCATTACAATGCAAAGTATCCAATTTAATACAAAAGATAATGAAGTTCATTTCAGACATGTGTTACACAACTGATTAGCAAATAAACTGCGGCGTAGAAAAGTAGTAGGGAAAACTATTTCGCCATCATTTATATTAAATTCAAATCAAGATGTGATATCACGTATAAAACATACTTAAACAAATAGTAGAAAATATGCAACCAATCCGAAAACAATGCCAGATAAATTGCATGTTGCCATGGTAACAGCACTCATCGCATCATTGCAGAGATCCGTTGTGCAGCAGTCAAGACAGTTCCAGGTATCTTCGTCGGAATGACAGTATACATCCATCTGCTCAGAGAGGCAGAATTCATAACTATATTCGTCGGTGTCGACGGCACTGCGGTAACAACCCTTTAATACATACAGCTGATCTGTAAAAGAATAATTATAGTTTTAAGTTTGGAGTTCATATCACAATAATTACCGAAACTCAAAAAACTTTTCCTTTTGTATTTGTCATGTTTATTATTAAAATTATTACGCCAATTTATTTTAGTTGCAATCATATGCGTTGTATCGGTGGCAGTCATATCCAAGATAAATCTTAACTAGGTAGGTCGCACTGAGCATGACTACTTAGCTTTATATGTATGTAGTTGCATGTGACCTCAGCGATTCAGCTTAACAATTTGAAGCAATCTTACGCCCTCTAGTGATGAAACGCTTCCATGACGTGATGAGTGACACAAAGGTCGTTCAAATCGTCTTTATAGTTTTGTACATAGCCGTCCATCAATAAAGATTACATTTTTGAGAGGTTTTACTGTGTTCTAGACGACAAACGAATAAAAGAAGTTGTCGATTTCACGAAATGTCTTCACCCAATACGTCATTTTGACGTCACAGAAGTGCTCTTTCACTAGAGGGCGCTATCTACAGGAATAGTATAAAAAGTAGCACAACATACCAGCATAAATGGTGGCAGTGGCTACATGTATAGTTCGTTCATGATATCGCACTCATTATCATATCATATTCTTGAATTGTTTATCCATATACAAAATATAGTAGCGACATAGAATGTATTGCAACTCGCGTCTTACTGGTCATGCATAATATAAAAAATGCCTCGTTTAGCGCCATGCCTCACCTGTGTAATAGGAGTAGGTAGTACAAGCCTCGTACGAACCGCCGTCTGGCAGGTCAGTATCATTGCACGTATATACATTCAGACAGTCGTCAAAATCATTGGCTGGTGTGCCATCTTCTTTACAGTAATAGCAATCCAGAGCTGCAACTGTTATAATAAAATGTGTATAATAGAGACCGATTTAGATGACAGTTAGATGGGCTCCGTGCAATGTTTACATACAATGTTATTAAATCTCAATTAAGAAAACAACCAGCAAACACAGATCCAGCTACATCAGTAATTACATATTTAATCGACGAAGATACACCCCAAAAAATACGGCCGAGACACCAGTATAAAACACGATATAATGAAATGACCTTAAGAAAATCCCAATGTGTCTCCCATTCATTACGTACATATATACATAGAAAATCCTGTTCAAATTCAGATGGAATTGCTTTTTATTATACCATTTTCGCTAAAGGCATAACACGTGTGGTGGAACAGTTGTGGCGATAATGATTGAATTTGTCTTGGCAACAACTATTTTTATCTATATACATAGTATATAAACTTGGCACAACTTAGGTACGCCAAATTGGGTAGCGGGTGTTATTCAATTATTAGATTATTTAAACTGAATATTTGGAAAAAAATGAATCAAAATACAGTGAAGGCTTAATGAAAGACATCTGTGACACTGGTATGCCAGAAAAGATGAACATAATTCATGCACAATGGCAAAAAAGGCACAAATCATAAAAATAATCTGAGAACTTACAACAAATTAATAACAGATTTTTCGCTAGAGAAAAAGTTGCAAATAATTAAATAAAAACTGCACTATCGCTTTGCAATGACCAAACAGAGGATAAGTGCCCATCGCTTAAAGATTGAAATGGGAAGGTACAATACTGTACCAATATCAGATAGAAAATTTGTGAGGTTAAATATAGATATATATCAGATAAAAGAAGTTAAGAATATTTTATAAGGATAAAATATTATAAATGTGAGGGCGAAACAAATTTATAACTTTATTACCGTCATATCAGTTTAATACATTACTTAAATAATAATATTGTATACACTGCAGAAAAAAGTATTATACGGGTTCAACCGTATCAATTAATGATGCTGTTACTTGCCTTTTCATAATTTAGATGTTGTTCATTATCAATGGTTGTTTTGAGCTGGGACATAAAAAAAGCAAAATTCGTTCTTGGGTGGCATTTATTTTAGCACCATCTCTTAAAGAGAGAGTGCATGGCAATAGTTAGAATTTGGTCGATAATTAATAGTATATTTTATTTGACTCAAATTAATGAATTGGGAATACATTAACCATGGTCAATATGTTTGTTCCGGTAATAAGTGTTCTCATGTTTAACATTACGTCAGTGCCAAAGTAGATAAAGATAACAAATTTATAACTGTTTTAATATACAAGAACATTCAATTAAAAATGAAATGCAAAAACCAGCTGCAACTTCAGAAAATAAAATTTAACCTTTTTTTTGCTTAGACATTCGAGCGTCTTTTTCAAGTTTTTATTGTTAGTATCCTTTTTTCAACAGAATGTTTTACTTTGTTGTAATTTTCAAGGCTCTATTCTATTCTTCTTATAGCGTTTGAAATCGGACTATGTGTCAACATTTGAACCGTGTGTTAAGGTCTATTGTGTTCCTAACAATGATGGATGTTTGGTTAAACCATG